CTGCATGAACACTAAACAGATCAACCCATTGCTCAAACATCCCGACGACGAAAATGGTGCAATTGCCCCGATTCTTACCCCATTCTCGCTGCACACGTAGAACGGACGATTCTGGTTCCTCGGTGTCTGAGAAACCCTTCGATCAACGCCCGCCCGGCACCGCGGACAGACGAAGACAGGCATGTCCACACGCGCCCGGCTCTGCATCCGCGAGGTGGCGCGGGAGCTTGAGGAAGACATGGAGCTCGGAGCCGAAGGGGATCTCAACGCCGCCGCGCCCTCCACTGCCAGCTTCCCACCGCCGCGCCCTCCACAGCTAGCTTCCCGCCGCCGTGCTCTCTCTCTCGCCGTGGTCACCGCCGTGCTCTCTGTCGCCGTGGTCACCACCGCTGTCGCCCGCTTATATAGCACACCCGCCAACGGCTCTCTGCTCAACGGCTCTTTGCTGGGTCCCACAAGCTACGCGTGCAACGGTCTGAATAAAATTGGCCGTTTCTGCCGCCTGGTCCCACCTGTAAGGGCCGAGTCAAAAGGTTGACCTGACGGAGACGGCAGAGTTCACGGAACGAGTCGGTGCGCACGGACTAGGGGCAAAACTGAGCACAATTCGCATCTGAGGGCAAAACTGAGCACATGGACACCACTGAGGGCAAAAGGATAATTAACCCTTATTTATAATAGTGGTTGAAATGAACATGGGTTAGATTCAAATGAAGGCAACATGTGGTGCACATCAAAAGTTACTACTAGTCCAAACTAGAACAAGTTTGGATTAGTAGTACTTTCGACATGCACCACATGTTGTCTCCACTTGAATCTAATCCACGTTTATTTCACCCACTGTTATATGTAATAACTCATCATGCTCATATAACAACTTAGCATCATGCATCATCATTATATTAAATAACCCATCATTGGTACCATAATAACAAGTCCTACTCATCATCATCATACAACTTCTACTCGTTATCATGATAACAGGTCATACTCATCATCATCATACAACTTCTACTCGTTATCATGATAACAAGTAATACTCATCATCATCATAGTCATCTAACCAATCCTACTTAATTGTTCTTAGCACATGATCAGGAGTATTAGCTAGGATCTAACTACCTTCTCTTAGGTAAAATGACATAAAAAAGATAGGCCCTGACTCTTCATTATGGAGAATGGAGATTATACTGTCTCCAATTCTTGCGCGTCGTAGAATGTTGCTTCTAAGTACCTCCCTACGACTGACCATACATTTTTTCCAATCTTTGATTGTCATGTCTTCATCGGTTTTAGAAATCCAGTATGAACAACAATGATGCGTAGGATGACCTGGCCGTAAGCTCATAACATCAAGGCGAACTTTCCGAAACATCAGATGAGGCACACAATCCTTCGGGATTTTCTATTGCAAAACAAAGTAATAACTTCATAGTTTGCAATGTAGTTTATTAGAAGAATTTATGAAAAAGATGCACGGATGTCACAATAGTAAAAAATCTTACCGTGCCATCTACATGGGTGTTACCGTAGTTCAACATGTGCACTAGTGGCACGTATTGACCATAATGTGCAGGAGTTTGATAATAGATATTGTAATTCTCAAGATCATTAATAAATGAGATCAATGGTTTTTCTCCTGATAAGTTAATTCCGCGCCATCGGTGTAGTATGTTCTGTCTACCATCTTCCCCACATTCTTTGAAGAATAAAAATAATCTATAAATGGAAATAAGCTGGAAATTATTTTGAAATAAACAACATAAATTACTTAATAACTATGTTTGAGAAACTCACATAGCTGTAGAATTGTAAGCGTATCACCAAGGACCCAAATGTCCATATTGTCTTTCTCGATGTCAGGATCACCAAGATCCATGGTGACAAGCATACCCTCATGGAAATCATATGCCTTACAAAGTCCTTCCCAATTCGGGCAACCAAAATGGGATACCCTCTCGGAATTGTATAGATTTATAGCAAAATGTATACAATTAGATTCCAAATACTAGCCTAGAAGGTAGCACCTCCCAGTACCAGCCCGGCGGAGCCCAGTCCCGGACATGGCCCCTCTGATCAAGTAGGCCTCCTCCACTGAGTCGACGACGAGGATGCGGGATAGGCATCGTCGACGTCGATGCGGGAATAAATGCTTTAACTAAAAAAATAACAACAAATGTGACATGTTCAAAATATGACATGTCCACTTCAAAACGAATCAACCTAGAATTCTGCTAAATACACTTGAAACACCTAAACTATATTAACTACACCTAATTAAAAACCTACATTTTGAACATGGTTCTATCATAACTAGGGTTCATACTACATTAATCTAAGATTAAACACCTAAAATACCTAAATTAAATTAACAACATGGGGTGACTGGGACGACGGCGGTGATGATGCATGGGCTCCTTGATTTCTGCAAAAACAAAATATAAACAAAACATTATTATCGTCATCGTAGGACTTAGAGAAACTCCATAAGCTATCAAGTAAACATGCAATTTGATTCCAAATAAAATTTTCAATTGTCTGCAATTTGTTTCCTAAACCCTAAGAACATTATTATCCTCATTTTTATATCTATTGTCTACTTATTGAACCATAGATAAATGCCCTAATTTCACATAACTTAGAAAAATCCTATTCTATTCAAAAGACCTACATTTACTTATTTTTTTCAATTCTATTCAGAAAACGTACATTTACTAAAATAATCTCACATAGCATAATATATTTCTCTGCCTAACAATTTATATTACTAAAATTTTTTATACCTAAATGTTTGTACAAAGAGAGGAGGGCAGTGGGAGGAGGAGGAAGAGGGAGGAGTGAGGGCTTCGGGTGGCTGGGGAAGGGAGGAGAGAGGAGGGCAGTGGGAGCAGGGCGGCGGTCGGACGAGGGAGAGGAGGGAGGAGCGACGGCCGCCGGCGCGAGGAGGGAGGAGAGAGGAGGGCCGTGGGAGGAGGGAGAGAGGAGGGCGGCGAGAGGAGGAGGGAGGGAGGGAGGCAGATACCTTGGGGGCGACGGCGGCGACGACGCGCGAGGGAGTAGTACGGTGGGCGAGTGAGAGTGTGTGAGGGGAGAGTGAGAGGAACGCGCGCATGGTGTGGATAAGGTAAGCGTAGTAGTAGCATTGTTAAGCACTCACCGCTACAGCTATTTAGCAGTAGCGCTGGTTAGAGGCCAACGCTATTGCTACGTACAATAGCAGCAGCGCTGGTTGCTTACAAGCGCTACTAGTATACCTACACTGCCTGCGGTTTTGAAAATTACAGTAGCAGCGTGTTTTGTAAATAAAGCGCTACTACTATATGCATAGTAGCAGCGCTCTTCGGGCACAAGCGCTACTGTTTTTTATCAGCAACGCTTTGTTATAAAAAGTGCTACCGGTAAGCTCCTGTGTATAAGCATTTCTTTAATAGTGTCATCTCGTGCCCGGCAGCAGGACTGACCATGTCTCGCGCCCGGCATCAGGATCGAGCTCGTCTTGCGCCCGACAACAGGACCATGCTCGTCTCGTGCCCGGCAGCAGGACCGAGCTCGTCTCGCGCCCGGTGCCGCAGAACGGATCGATGAAGGCCAAGTTTGGCCGGACTATTGGGTCTCGGCAGTGGGGGCCGTCCATGTGCTTTGGTTGGGGTAGCGGCAGATCTCGGGTGAGGTGGTGTCAAGGTCTTGGATGCCGGGGTGGCGGCCTTGGTGGTGGTTCCGCGGTGCTCATGGGCAGAGCCCGTGGCTTGGTGCTGCCCAGTTGCCACGGCCGTGTGGGCGGCGTGGTAGCCGGGGTGTGGCGTTCGGTGGCGGTGAGTGGTGGCCGGGGTGAAAACCTACTCTATCTTCGAACGGACCGGCAGCGGCGAAATGAAGGTGTAGTCGCGACTCTCATTGTCCGTCGTGTTGCTCTAAAGGAAACTCTGATCCTCGGATCGGGCGGTGGCGACGCTCCGGTGTTGTTCCCTTCCTGAAGGTGCCGCCTTGGAGCCCACAGATCGTCATATGCGGCTTCACCTCTTAGTGTAGTGCTTGGGTTGGTGTTGCTGCGCTCAGCGCTTATGTATCCTCCCTTGGGTGCGTGTGTGTGTGTGTTGTGAGGGTGTGCGCTTGTGTCAGGTGCTGTCGATCATTGCTTTATATATAAAGCAGGGCGAAAGCCTTTTTCCGTAAGTTGACTGCAGTAGTTTCTCTCCCCCCTCGCTCCGGTGCCTCACCTCCGGCGAGTCCTTGTTTGAGCCCTCACCGACGACACCGTCGTCTCGCTTCGGTTCGGTCAAATCCAACGAGCAGTCCTTCGAGATCATAATGGGAAGTTCATCGCTGCAGCAAATGAAAAAAAAATGATATATGCTTTGACTCTGGTTTGCTATAGCAGTTTCTCCCTAAATAATTTGTGCTAGTAGGCGTACTCACAAAAGAAGAAGAAATCTCGCAATTGTTGCCCTATAGTTTTGGGATCAAAGTAGTCATGTATATTCCTTCATGTAGAAATACCCCAAGGATAAAAACAGTGGCGGAACTGTTAAGAAGCATACCCAGGCATTTAAAAAATGAACTCACAGCCTCTATAAAAATAGGTGCCCCACGTACAACGGAAACGGTCACTTTCTTTTCGCGAAAAATAGGCTCGTTCCAGTGAGACGGGAGGCACTGTGACACCCAATCAAAAACAGTTTTGCATGGATCCTACGGCGCCGATTGTACAGTAAAGAATTTAGACGTGACGTAACTAAAAATCATCTAGATATGAATCATCAAAATTACATTTATTAATAATAGTTTAACGTCCAGGGCATATCAAAGGGTTCTCCACTGCCCATTATGAACCCAGAAAATCACATGGAAAGCAGCAAACATGCTGGGCTTGATCCATCTATGTAGGCTAATTACAGCCTCTCGCCGCGGATCCTCCTAGCCAAATACACATCTTTGGACATAATGGTCACACGCTTAGCATGAACGGCACACAGATTAGTGTCTTCAAACAGTCCCACCAATTATGCTTCGGCTGCCTCCTGCAAAGCAAGCACCGCATGGCTCTGGAAACGTAGATCACTCTGTAGATGTGGCAAAGAAGCCAAAGAAAATAGATATAAGCACAAATATTCCATTTTATTATCATGAATACACTGTATTAGAACTTTTTCTATACACCCTAATCAATCTCTAATGGATCTTTTTTGAAGGGATTGAGTTGGATTTGTTCGTATCTGAAATAAGCCTACTCCCTCCGTTCCTAAATATAAGTCATTTTAGACATTTTAATATGAGATACATACAGAGTAAAGTAAGTGAATCTACACTCTAAAATACGTCTATATACATCCGTATGTAGTTCATATTGAAATCAATTAAAAGATATATATTTAGGAACAGAAGGGGTAGTAAGATACATATGATAGAGGAAATGTACCTTGCAAAATTGGGCAATCTCCCTGACAAGCCTTTGGAACGGTAGCTTCCTTATAAGTAGCTCTGTGCCCTTCTGATATTTGCGAATTTCACTATTGAAGCACAAGAGTATGAAACACATGCACCTCATAATAATCCAAGCAATGGAAATTATATTGTACAATACATACCGAAGAGCAACAGTTCCAGGGCGATATCGGCGAGGCTTCTTCACTCCACCAGTGGCGGGAGCAGTCTTACGAGCGGCAGCCTAGCATCACAAAACGAAAAACCAGTAGTTAAGTTGCTGTCAAGCAAACAGTTTCTAACACTCAAAGTTGCTAAGATGCTTCGTCGGAGCCAAAGGTGTAATCTTACATAGAAAGCCCGAAGGTGCTTCGTCGGAGCCTTTCCGCCGGTGGACTTACAGGCTGTGCACTTAGTTCGAGCCATCTGCAAACAAAAGAGTACACCATGCACAAAAGTTGTGTTAACAAATTTAATTCCAAGGCTAGATCTAAGACATCTGAAACAAAAGCAACTACTCACTCCGGCTAAAAATTGTGATTTGACCGTCCTCTCGAAAGCCATGTATTTGATACTTTGAATACCAATATCGTAGAATGTTTAATTACGTGCATGTGATACATGCATGTCTGAAAAATATGATAGCAGTTCCTTCCCAAAAGAATTCTAGCTTCTCAGAATCAGTATAGGTCCAAGTGATCACATAATAACCCAGCTAGTTCATACATTTTATGATTATCAACGATTGCTAGCCAGGAAAAACAAGGTTGTGTAGTAGTATGTGCTAAACTATTTATGTTGACGAGTGATGACCAACACAAGCAACCAAATCAGAAATATACTAGATGGAAGCATCAAGAAATACTAAGGCTACAGTACGACCATAGGAATTACTGTAGAACACTTGAAACGGCTTACATACCTCTCGCAGTTGCTATCTTGCACTTGCACACCCTTGGGAGTACTCTTGCTGTCGGGCTGACTAGTTGATCGAGGGCTGAGCGTGATCGGATGTACGTACAAATAGCGAGAGGGGGCAGGGTATTTACAGGCGGGCCTAACAGGGGCACGTACGAACCGACTTATAGGAGTAGATTAGATTCTTAATTTGCGCTAGACTAGATTGATTGGCGCACTGGCGTTGCCGTTGAAACTGATCGTACGGCTCGGATCGATGTTGACACGGATTGATCTGGGTATATTGCGCCCTGCTATTGGCCGATCTCATGAGGACACGGATCGTGGTTTTCCTAAATCCTAGTGGTATATAGTAAGAAACTTCCAGAATAATGCGTAATTAAGCACGGTTGCATCTTGAGAGTTTATCAAGCGATGCCTCTCAGTCGGCAACCTCGCCATATATGTTTGCTTCTTCCCTGTGTCGTGCACGGCCGCGTGGGATGCTCGCCTGAGGTCTGAACAAGCGCAAATGGAACGAGCGCGTCGACCGGTCGACGGTTGCGTCGGGTGCTTGCACGCAGAGGCTCTGAGCGGCCGGCGTGGCATTTCGGTTGGCGGCATGCAAGATCTGCCGGAGCAGCGGACAACGCTGCCGAACTGCCTAGAGGATAGATGGCGCGGGTGCTCCGACGAGATCGCCCGGCAATGGAGGCGCATCAGGACACCCGGCCGGCCCGGTCTTAGAGCATCTACAACTGGACTTGTCCGGCCCGCTATATGTCCGCGGACGCGTCCGGGCATGCCTGTGGAAGCATCCGGATCTGCAGCTGTATCAAATGTAAGCATTCTCAGAGCAGGCGTGCATTTCTGCTTGGTAGAGAAATAGAGTTGTCCGCGACAATCCATGTGAGCTTGAAGTAGTCGTTGTGTGCCTTCATTCCCTTCATAATGCGAAAAAAATAATGGGTTCACATGCGAAAACGGCGACGAAAGAGAGTTGTGCAGTAGCTTTGCTCCGAACACCCTAACCCGGTTGATCACTTTTCTCCCTTCGATTGAACCCCTGAAGTTGAGTATATGCTTCACTTGTCGGTCCATTTCCTCTTGCTTGCTCATGAGCATGATCATGATCATGTCCACTTCTTCGTCCGAATCTGAGGAATCGAAGAACTCATCTTGAATCATTTGATCAAGCTCAGTCGGTCCATACTCCTCGTCCGACGAAGCATCGGAATTCATCGTTTTCCTAATAAAATCACAAAAAATCCGGTCAGACAATGCGTCAAACAGATCAAGCGCAAGGCGGAGCCAAAGAGTTGTCAGACGTAGTGCGGTGGCGTTCGGGCAGACGACAACGTCCCCGCCAGCGAGGACGGAGAGATGACTGCTCTACCAGAGCTGGCGGGGCAGAGGCTAGGAACGACTATGGAGCGCGTGGCGGCGGAGTTGCGAGACGGGCGACGCAGAGGAGGAGGAAGAGAGGAGAGAGTAAATGGATCCGGCAGCTCTGGGACGTGGATTTGGTGCAATTTGCGGTGGGTCGGGCTGCCGGGTCCGACGTGGCGGGCAATGCTCAGGCGCCCCATATTTGGGCTGGATACGAGGGGTGCCAGTCACCCCGGTCGTTTGAGGCCATTTTGAGGCGCCCGTCAGGGTTGAAATCTCGCGACTAGACAGTGACCGGGCGGGCTGCTCTTACGACCAGGTACATCGTCAGAAGTCGGAAGTGTTGGACGCGCCCAAGTGTTTTTTTAATACAGTACAGACGCAAGCGCTCATACATACGCGCATACACTACTCTTTGAACGCGTGCACACACACCCTACCCCTATAAACACCTTCGAGTGACTGAGCCGGCATATCATCTTGAGATTCATGAAGTCATCGTAGACGCCTTATTGTCGACGAGAACGTCTTCTCCCACTGAAAACGTTTTACCGAAAATTCTAAAATAAATTCAGAAGTAATGTGAGCATCAGGACTTGAATCATAATGGGATGGGATATCACTATCCCTCGGGCGTGTGGCATGGCTTGAATGCGTGCAGATCTTCACGGTGCTGTGGGGCCAGATGTGCTGACGGCATTGTGAGGATGCACAAACAGAGTTGATTGTTGCGTGAACAGAACACATGTAAGTTGCGACAACGGAGAATATGGCACGCATGGTCATTGTTCGCCACACGTATGGTGGTGCTCTGCTTTGGCATCGTGACTCCACGATTAGATCGCCCCTTGTTGTCTTTTCCTTCGGTTCATGTGTATTTTAAAGATGACTCGTCGTTGGGTGGCGAGCAAAGCTATTGAGGTGCACGCTTGAATTTTTTTAAATGATAAGTGTTATATGTGTGGCACGAAGCAATTTGGTTCGGACAATATTTACAACAATTTTATATGGTTTTGGTATGATTTGATTAGAATTAATCCGAACTAACGCCGTTTTTAGCAGAACTACCGTGGTGTCGTTTTTTGTGTAAAAATAAAAGTTTTCGAAATGAGCCGAAAATTTACGGTGATTTTTTATGGATCAAAAGACCCCGAAGCACAAGAGCTGGGCTAGGAAGTGAACAAGGAGGCCACAAGCCCCCTAGCCGTGCCCTACCCCAAGGGCGCTAGCCCTCGGCTTGTGGGCCCCTCGGGCACCTCCTTGACGTGAGGTCGACGCCAAAAATTCTTATAAATAGCAAAACCCCCGAAAAGAACTCTAGATGAGAAATTCAGCTGCCGCAAGCCACTGTAGCCACGAAAATCAATCGTGCCCCCATTCCGGCACCCTGCCGGAGGGGGAAATGATCACCGGAGGCCATCTTCATCATCCCGGTGGTCTCCTTGATGAGTAAGGAGTAGTTCACCCTCGGGGCTGAGGATATGTACCATTAGCTATGTGTTTGATCCCTCTCTCTTGTGTTCTTGATTTGGCACGATCTTGATGTATCATGAATTTTGTTGTTGTAGTTGGATCATATCGTGTTTTTCCCCTCTCGATGTTGTTGTGATGAATTGAGTCTTGCTCTTTGAGGTTTCGTTAGGTTGGATTGAGTATTGGATTTGAGAACACTTGATGTATGTCTTGCGATGGATACCTGTGGTGACAATGGGATGTTCTATTGATTCACTTGATGTATGTTTTGGCACTCAACTCACGGATTCCCGAAGTGACATTGGGGTCATCTATGCATATGTGTTGATGGCGTTTTCATCCTACGTTCTCCGATAGAAACTTGATAGTGGTTCTTTGTCGCGCGTTGAGGGATTGTCATATGATTCAATTATGTTATCATTATTGAGAGAATTTGCACTAGTGAAAATATGAACTCTAGGCTTTGTTTTCAAGCATTGCAATGCCGTTTTTGCTCACTTTTGTTACTAGTTACCTCGCTGTTTTCATTTATTTAGATTATAAAAATATATTTCTACCATCCATATTACACTTATATCACCATCTCTTCGCCAAACTAGTGCACCTATACAATTTGTCATTGTATTGGTGCATTGAGGACACAAGAGACTTTTTGTTATTCGGTTGCAGTGTTGTTTGAGAGAGAACATCTTCATCCTATGTCTCCCATAGATTGATAAAGCTTAGGTCATCCACTTGAGAGAAAATTGCTACTGGCCTACAAAACTCTGCGCTTGGAGGCCCAACACGAGTTTACAAGAAAAACATTGCGAGTAGACATCAAGCTCTTTTCAGGCGCCGTTGCTGGGGAGGTGAGTGCTTGAAGGTATATCTTTAGATCTTACAATTGAATATTTTAGTTTCTTGTTTTATCACTAGTTTAGGTTTATAAAAGGAAATTAAAAAATGAAATTGAGGTTGCCTCATATGCTTCATCTTTTTTAATGTCTTTTGTGAAAATAAAGATTTAGAAAAGTGTGCCAAAATGTTAGAAGAAAAAGTCAATAAAATGTTTGGCATAAAATCTTTGAATGATGAGCATGATTGCAATGTTGTTAATATGCTCCATAGATAGGTTGTTTCAGAAAAGGACAAGCAAACAAAGCAATAGGCATATAATTCTTCAGACGTTCTCAGTCCCTGTCAGGTTGGGTTTCTTTTGAGCCATCACGAAGAACATGGGCGTGAAGATCCCTTCCCTGCAAAACCAAAATCATGCGCACGCGTCGCATCATGCTTCCTTAGATATGCCCAGTGCGTTCGCACTCATCTAGTTTCTGAATTCTGAAATAAACACCGACGTGCTCCTAATTACCTGCCGCCCTGTTACTACTAGTCTAGAGTTGTTGCCAGTGTTGCCAATGCCATGAATTAGAGGACGTATAGGTCAAAAGGAATGATGGAAGATAACACTACAAAAAAACACTTCCGTGATGATACGTGTTTGTCACAGTAGGTCATGTTTTCTGTCATGCATGTACATTCATGACATTTTTATGACAGAATCAAGATAGTCACACATGTGCTGTCGTAGAAACGTTCCATGACATTACGAAAATTATCATCACGGAAGTGTCCACTTTCATGATGGTAAATCGCGCATAATAGAATTTCTTTCGTCAAGGATA